GTGAGGACACCATTGAGGGTTTCGGTGCTGGCTTCTCTCTGAGGCGGAAGCTCAGCTCAGATAGGAGGCTTGCTGACTCAAAGCCCCAAATCCCAAAGGGTGGTGCAGATAAGGCACCTCCAGCGATGCGGGGGCAGCAGGGGCGTCTACATGGACGAGGGCTGTGGGCCCCAGGGCATAAGTGCCTTCAGCTTGGTGGGGCTGCAGGGGTGCCCTGGGGGGTGCCCCCCCGCCTTGGGGATGGGCCCATGACTGCGCCACCCCTCCTGATGCCTCCTGTGGGGTGCTTCCTTTGGGGTCAGCCAGCCCTGGGACTCTGACCTCAGGGCCCTGTGTTGTGCCACCTCCTTTGCAGTGCACATGCTGAGCCCCTGCCCTGGTGACTGTGAGGGGGACGTGGGCCCAGATGGGTCACTCGGAGACAGTAGTAGTTGTCCCACACCCAGAGACCAGGAAGGTGGCTGGTCCGCACCCCATCCCATGCCACCCCTGGTCCATGGGTCACTGTGGGTGATGCTGGTGCTGCCCCCATTGGGAGTCAGGTTGTGGGGACAGATGGCCAGCAAGGGAGTCAGACTGAAGCCAGGACCTGGGGACCCAGCCTGACACTCAGTCCTGTGGGGCCCAGAGATGCTCTGGGCCTGGAGGGGGCTGCGGGGCCTGGGCCCTGACCTCACAGTCTTACTCCCTGCCCCTCCCTCCAGGGCCCAGTGTCCCAAGTCACCAAAGTCAGGTGGCCTGCTGGGCCCAGGTGGCTCACGTTGGGTTCTGTGCTGACTCAGGCCTGCTCAGCAGCCCTGTCTCTCTTGGTGCTGGGGGGAGGGGCACCTCTGAGAAGCTGGCTGAGCTCTGTGGGGACAGCCCTTACCTGGGCTGGGAGACCAAGGAGCAGCCAGGCCAGGCCGGGTCTGGGGCTCTGGCTGCCACCCATGCCCATTGCAGGAGCCCCTCGGGAAGGAGAGGCACGGGGCCGGTCTGACCAGTGGCAGGACTACAGGGTGGCAGGTCTCTCTGCTGAGGGCTGTCTTCAGCGACTGTGTGACTGGCCCTTCAGCAGGCTATAGGAGTCCAGTGGGCAGCCATGTCCCCGCGTACTGCCCTGGGGTCTCTGATCCATTGCTGGGCCTCGGGGGTTCACCACTGGGGCTGTACTGACCCCCACGTGGGCACCTCAGCTCTTGGATGCCACGAGGCTTCTCCCCTAGAAGGGCCTGCAGCCCCCGAAACGAGTGGGGTCGCCAGCTCTGGGCCGCGGAGCAGGTGTGGGCTGAGCGCTGGGGGAGCAAGGCGCCTGTGCCTCCCTAGGCCCTGCTCAGAGCCCGGCAGGTGGCAGCCAGTCCTGTCATGGGGCGAGCAGAGCAGAGCAGGGGCCCCTGAGCTGCAGGATTCTCTGGCATGTGTGGGCTCAGGACTTCATAAGGCGGCCTGTGCCCGCAGGCCGGTGCTGGGGCTGACCTGCAGGCGGAGAAGAGATGTGGGTACTGAGAGCCTGCTGCTCTGTCTCCCCACAGCGGTGCCGTGGGGTGTGGGGCTCGGGGTCCAGGGCCAGAAGGTCAAGAGGTCAGGGCAGAGGCCCTGGGGCACAGAGCAGAGACCTCTGGGCAGGGAGCCGCAGCCGGAGGTCGTGTGTGGGTGTGTAGCTGGCATATGTGGGAAGGGCTGCTGCTCGTTCTGTTGGTCCCACCTCCCTGCCCCCTGACTGCCAGCCCCAAAGAGGGAAAAAGTTGGCAGAGGCAGCAGGCCCACCCTGGCTCCGTGACCAGGGACAGCTCCAGGCAGGCGGGCCTCCTGGGGACAGCGAGAGGACTGGTGTGGGCAGGCGGGTGCCTCTCTCCTCTCCCTCTGTCCTTTGAACAAGCTGCCCACTGCCCGCTAAGCAGATTCTATTATTACCCCAGCTGGAGATTACGTCGCAGGTGCCCTTCCGGGCATGGCAGGCTCTCCTGGCTCAGGGCCGGTGTCTGCCTGGCTGTCTGGGGAGCAGATCCAGCTGAGGGGCCCAAAGGGGCCGGGTTCACCCCCAGAGAGCAGCCCTGGTTTCAGTGCCTCAACCGAGCTCTGTCCTGGGCTCTAGGACCAGCCCGGGCCAGATGGAATGCCCAGCACACTGCCCATTCAGCCCAGGGCCTCGGTGTCCGGCTCATGCCAGTGCCGCTGGGTTCCCTGAGCCCCG